TCTTGTTTGTCTGGAAGGGTTTTCCTGTGAATTACCCTACTACCATGCTACTTCCTCACCCGCACTACACACAGATATGGAATATTCTGTTATGTTAATTTCAAAATTCAAAAACCTGTGCCGTACTCCTTCTACACTAATAAATTTGCCCTCCCAGGGCATGTCTGGAAACATGTTCCCACATCTAAAGTAATTCTTATGGTTGACTTCTAACATCCATAATAAAAAGTATCAATTTTTAATCTGTTCACACCTTGCTACTTTTAAGAAGTCATACGACTTAATATATGATTATTGGTTGTTTATGCTGGAGCCTTTTACATCCTCGATTAGTAAAATTTTGAGCCACCTTGACTGAAAGTTTAGTTGTATGTATATTTGTATATATATTTGTTGTATCATATCATCTGTTAGAAAATGAAAAGAAGCTTTCATTCTGAATATCAATATTATCAAAATATTGTTCAAAATGCTTGAAGATTAGAGGAAATTGCAAAAATACTTTTGTCCCTGTGCTTATGGAAATACATGAACAGTTAAACTAAAAAGCTTAAGCACCAATAAGCTTAGTTTTCCACATCTTCATCATCAAACGTTTTCATTTAGCTTCGTGATCCACGTGTTTGTTAGTCAAAATTGAGCTCTTTACTTTACATTCTCATACAAGCATTTTCAGTGTTGGGGTCAGATGTGATCTATAGTGAAGGAGCTGTTGCGGACCTGTTGGACACACTTCGAGAACTATGTGGAAGTCAAACAACCATCTTTTTGGCTGGAGAACTTCGAAATGGTGAAAATCACTTGCATTCTCTTTATCTAATGCGTGTATGTGAACATGTGAATTTAGTTGTGATAAATGATCTTTTAGGTTTCTTACATATTCTCATATTTCAGATGCTATCCTTGAATACTTTTTAGAAGCTGCATTGAAGGATTTTGTGATTGGACGTGTTGCTCAATCACATTGGCATCCAGACTATCGCAGCAGTCGAGTTGTGCTGTATGTCCTAGTGAAGAAGTGAGATAACTGACGTTGCTGATTCCTTCTTTTTCAATCTTTGTCTGTCATTATACTGAAAACTACGTGTCTATGTCATATGTCTATTTTATGAGTATTAGATAATATAGGGATAACTAGGAAGATTATTACAAATTATGTTTCGTATCTCCATACAGAATGGTGACTGCTTAACAAATATTGTGCTTTTCTAAAGATACACTTCTAGGCAACATCATATATACCCCATCCATACCCATTCTAGTAACCATGAACAATGTTGGATAGTTTCTTTACGAGTATGTTACTCTCTTTATCTACTAAATCATGCATCATGATGTGAAACCAAGATCAACGTGCAATTCAAATATACAAATACACAATTAATATTAAAATTTATTCCTAAATAGATTATTTTATTTAATCCACAATTAACTTGTGAAGAATTAAGGTATTTGAGATAAAAGAAAATGAATTGATTAAAACCTCATAAGAATATTTTGATAAGTTGAAATTAATTTTTAGTGCAACAAGAAAGTCGGAGAACCTTACAAATAGCAAACTAGTCATCGACTATGGAATAACTATATTGATTCATTGGATGATTAAACAATTATAAGAGGGTCTATTCATAGGAGAACTAGTAAGATTCCTAATAGAAAGATTACTTAAAATATAACTCTTATCTAACAATCATACTATTTTTAGGTGGCATAAGGACTCTTGATAAGGAGGACTCTTGCTTATATTATAATTTTTACATGATATATTACACATGATAGGGCTCTTTATTCTTCATGACATTGAGGTGGAAAACCAATCATGATTTTGTGAGATAAGGATTCTTTTACTTGGTCAAGATATGAGGAGTGATATGAGAGTCCAAGATTTTAAAGACTCATAGGATTTGTTTGGATAAATTTCAGTGATGGTTAATTAATGTATAGTAACTACAGTAATTGAATGACAATAACACATTATTGTAATGGTAAAAAAATTTTACGTTTGGATGATGGTATATTAATGTATGTTAATGATATATTTTTGTTTGAATGATAGGATGGTATGGTTATATTTTTAGCTAAATTATTAATTTATTCCTACATATTATATGTAATAATAAATGGTATAAAAGAAGTATGTAAGGAAAAAATAAATTATTTATTAATATCATTATATTTGTATTTAAATAAATAATTATTATATATAATTAAATTAAAATTTTATATTTAATAAAATAAATAATAATTATTTATATTATCACATTAATTTAATGAGTTTTTAATTGTCATGACATATATAAAATTAATTAAATTAGAGAGGGGATATAATAGAAAACAAATAGAATGTCCACTAAATACTACTAATTTGTTTGTTTAAAAATTCACTCTAAAATTTGTCAGTCAAATACCATTTGTTACTATTGGAAATTGAAACAAATACGATTTTTTCACGCTCGTAAAATACCGTACATTAAAATTTTACCATTTATTATGATTCAAACAGAGGGTTAATGCTTAGCTTTTAGAAGAGTGTTTGGCCGAATGTCCATGCTTTGTAAGGTTGATATGAGTTGTAGAAGAATTACTGGCCTCCTCTCCCAATGGCTAAATGAATTTTGCCTCTATCTTTCATGAGTCTTCAAATCCGGGCCAAGCTTTCCTTCTTTATTGATATATTCTTGAACATAAGCTTGAAAGACTTGTTTCAATTTCTTGGTCATCTTGTGATTGGTTCACTTGACATCATGATATCCCTTCCATGTGGCCCATATGTACCTTGAGTTGTGTCCATCTTATGCTCATCTCTGTGTGGCCTTATCTCCATCATTTCCTCTTTCTTCAAAAAGATTCGTCATCGAATCAGTTTGTTTATATCAAATTGAAACAAGAGTAAACTAATTGAATAAAAATTAGAATATACTAAATTTAGAATCGGTTGGATAAGAACATAAAATAAATAAGATAAATTAATATTTATCTAGTGCTTAAGCTCTGATACTAATTTAATGTGGAACCTAGGATCAACATGTAATCTAAACTCACACATATATAATTAATAAATAAATCATTTATATTTAATTCACAATTAACTTGTGATTAGAAGTAAGGTGATTGAAATAAAAGAAAATAAATTGATTAAAACGTCATAAAAATATCTTGATAAGTTGAATAAAAAATGATTGAATTTAATTTAAATATTTTTAAATAAAATATTTAAATAAAAATCTATTATTTTTTAATTAATTCAATAAATTAAATACATTTTAACACTATTAACTATACATCTACATGAAAGTTAACCTGTCAAGACTTTCTCCATTAATTCCATGGTGTCCACATAACACTAAAAAAGATTAAAAGTATTTTTATCTCAATGCAAATATAATAGTTATAAATATTTTTAAATATCAAATGTTAATAAATTATGTTGTAAAATATACACAAAATTTATTTATATAAGTTATTTTTATTATATATAAATTTATTAGACTCATTTATTATATGAAAATAAATTTAACACCCGCGTGGAATGTAACGACCCCAGAAATTTAAAAAAAAATATATAATAATAATTTGAGTGCGGAAGTAAAATAAATGTTAATGTTAACATTCCTTACACAATAACTCAAAAGTACTAACAAACATCACAGAACAAATTTTCTGAAAGAAATACGAAAAACTGAAAAAATAAAGGAAACTATAAAGTATCTAGCATCTACTTGTAGCCTTCTTGCGGATTGGGCTCGGGAACCGGGTCTTCCTGATCTGAAATGGTTAAATAAGAGGTGAGCTACACTGACCCAGTAAGGATATCACACTATATCGCCATCACAGAAGTAAAAATTGGTAGAAAATCAAAACAACCAATGGAGCAGTAGATTTAAACCAATACATTTATTTAAAATAAAACCATTTATCCTTTTTTCTTACCATTGGGGAATTTATGAAAATAAATTATAAAAGCAATAATATCATACAAATCATAATTTCATGCATAATCAGTAACATAAAACATATCATAAATTCGTATTCGTTAACAATAATTAATCATTACCGTTTCTCGTTTCACCAGCCTACTAATATCCATGAGGATCCATAGGGGTGTCCCCGCTACACGTGAACCATCTTAATTCAAGAGCCGTCTCCATATCCCATCCAGTATGAGCGCCAAGACATTAAACCTCAATATCTCATCTGGTATGAGAGTAAAGTGGGCCGTCCCCATACTGTAACACCCAAAAATTTCCTTTATTATTTTGTTATATATTTTTATTTTATTTCAATTTTTATTTCAATTTTTGTTTAATTTTGTTTTATTTTAATTTTTAATTTATAAGGTTTTAATTTAATTTAATTTAATTTAAAAGAAATAAAAATAAAAATAATAATAAAATAAAGTAAAATTATTTTTTGGATTTAGAAATTGATTTTGGAAAAAATATGTGAAAATTTGGATTCTGAAGGTGTTTTTGAAAAGAAAATCGAAAACCGGGAGTTAAAACGAAATTTAGAAAAATAGTGCCACGTCAGCAGCCCGGTCAGCAGCTCCGGTCAACTAAGACAAGCCGCGTGGCAGGGACGCTGATGCGGGAAGCCACGCGGGACGGAGACATGTTGGCGATACGCGTGCGCGCGATCGGACGGCCCAGATCCGTTTCCGCGCGCACAGACGACCCAGATCAAAGGTGCAGTGGACGACCCATATCTCACGTGTGCGGACGATCCAGATTTGATCACGCACGGACGGTCCAAATTTATTTCTAATTTAATCGCGATCGGACGGCCCATATTAAATCATGATGGACGGCTCAGATTAAAAGGGAAGGGTTATAAATAATCACATCCACACCCAACCCCAAACCTTAGCCAGAACCCTCGCCGGAGAAGACGACCCAGCCACTAGAGGAACTAGTGGCCGCCACCCGCCGCCGCACCGGAGGACTTTCCGGCCGCCAAATGAGGTAAAATTTCTCTTATTGACTCGTTTTTCGATGTCGAACCTCCATGTGGCCAAATCGGAGCCAAACCACTAGCCGATTGCCTGGAAAACACCGTTGAAGTCCAGCGGCGCTGCCGCAGGTTTCCTCAATTTTTGCCTCCGATGAGGCCCTTCCCGTTTTCCGTTCGATGTAATTTTTATACCATTGTGACCACCATTCTTTTCTCTATAGGTTGACTGGAGTAAAACACCGAATCCCAACTCGCGCTGGAGGAGCTGCCGTACTCGAGAGTTTTGCTGCTAGTAAGTCTCGGTTTTTTGAAATTTTTTGGCCCACCAAGGGTCCTAGGGGTATTTTATCACAGGAACCAATGCAAGTTTGATCGAATTCAGCCAAAAAGGGCTAACTCGAGGTGGATCGCCTCCGCGGGCGGCAACACCGTCATCAAAGCACGGCGGAGCCGCCGTGCCAGAATTCTTAAATTGGTCAAAAGGGCCCTGGGTCTGATTTGGGGTTTTTTTTAGGGACATGTGCAGGTACCAGAAGTGTGTTTCAGTTTCCAGGAAAAAATTCAGGGAATCTAGGGACTGCCCATAGGCGCAGTGAGAACCCGATTTCAGATTCCAAAAATAAGTAAGGATCTCTCACCCTATTTCCTATCACGACATTAAAGCCTAATAAATGATAAAACGGTATTTTATGAATTAATAGATATGTATAATTGATTAAGGTTGCCAATGGAGCCCGAATTTGATATATTTTCGGTGAGGTGTTGTTTGATTTATTTTGCAGTTTTGAATGCATTATGGTGCCTGATGTGTTTATTCTATGGTTTCGTGTGCATAAATCACGGTTTCATTTATTATGCTTTGAATTATTGTGAATCCGATGTTGTGTCGCCGTGTTTGGTGTCCATTACTGATTTACATATGGTTTTGGCACCCATACCGGACGGGGTATGGGGACATCCCTGGAATTAAGTTATTAATATAAATGGTTCACGTGTAGCAGGGACCCCTTATGGATCCCCATGGATACTAGTTGGCTGATAAAAAAAGGGGTAATTGTTGCCTGATGATTGAAATATAAAATCATGATATGTGTTATGTTGCAAAGTGTGCGTGATCTTATGATATTTATGATATAATTGTTTTCATAAATTGTTTTCATGAATCTCACTGAGGTAGGTGGACAGTAAAGGATTTTATTATTGATAAATGAGTTTATTATAAATTATGCTCCATTGATCGTTTTCGTTTTCTACCAACCTTTACTTCTGTGACAATGAGATAGTGTGATGTCTTTACTGGGCTAGTGTAGCTCATTCCTTACTTAACCATTTCA